GCCCGAATAAATGGACAACGATAAGTATCCGTATCTCTGCGCAAGCTCCCCACTAATCGGAATCCCGGCCATAGCACTGTGCATCAGTTCGAGTTAGCCATCGTAACCGACACACCCTGTTAATGGGAACAGAAATTCTTACGAAAGAGACGCAGCAGCCATCACAACCCCGACTGCAAGACCAACACCCTTCGGCGTCGCCAGCTGCAGCGCACACGCCTGCTGAAGCGACAGAATAGCCTAAGATTTACGTTTCGATTAGTCGCTTGTGTCCCAGCGTTCAAGTCAGAAATGCCTACCCCGGAGGAAAACCCATAAGCAGCCGAGAAGATCACCAGACCAGCCACGGATGTAACCTTCGTCCAACACAAGGCGATTATGCCGGAAGTAAGCGTAGCCACGAAGCAGCAGTTAAAGCGCCCGTATCGGTCCGCCAGGATCCCTGGCAGGATCCGGCCGAACAGGGAGGCGCCGTTGATGATGGAGATGGTGTAGAAGGCGAGGTCGGCGGAGAAGCCCTCCGTGACGGCGTAGGAGGTGGTGTAGAAGAATGGGGAGAACATGCCGAAGTAGATCATGAAGAAGGCGAGGCAGGTTAGGTGCATGGTGGGGTTCTTGAGGATTGAGGGGGTTTCGTGTGAGGAGGGCTTTTGGGAGTGCCGCTCTTGAGGGATGATGGGGCTGCTTGATTTTTCAGTGTCGAGGGGTGTTGGGGATTGTGTTTGAGGAGTGGTGGTGGTTGATAGGGGAGGATGGGCCGGGGGTCGGCAGCAGAGACAGGAGACGGTCAGAAGAGGGATCATGATGAATGCGACGATGCGCATGGTCCATCCGAAGCCAATCCGCGGGTTTTGGAGGAGATTGTTGACTGCAATGGGCCAGATGACGCCGCCGAGGGAGGAGCCGGAGATGACGATCCCCACTGCGGCACCCCGATTGACCTTGATGTGCTGGCCCACAAGGGCTATCATGGGGCAAGTGAGGAGTGATTGGGAGATCCCGAGAAGAATTCCCTGGGCGAGGATGAACTGGTATAGCTCCTTGCAGAGAGAGGTCATCATGAGTGAAAAGACGGTTCCGAAGGATCCTACGCAAAGGAGGATCTGCTCGCTAGTTAGCCGGGTTTGGGGCGGGTGGTCTGGCTGTAGAAAGACGAACCCTTGGCCCAATTGTGTCAAGTAATGGGCCCGACACGAGTGATACAGAGAAGATAAAAAACACAGCCAGTGCTCCGATCCAGGCGATGGTGGACTGGGACTCATCCGCCAACTGAGCTTTCGAGTAGTACTCCTCGAACAGGCCAAATGAATTCACAAAGCCGACTGTGCAGAAGACACCAATGAAAGATCCTAGAAGCATGAGACATGCTCGTGGTCTGAGTCTGTCAGCTTGCTCAAAGCTTTTGATTGAATGTCAGGAGAGACTCACGTGTATTCGCTCTGGGGCTTCGAAGGTTGATCGGAGCTACCCATCGTGGAAGGTCGATCGACTTCTGCTGATTGTGGTGGATGTCTTGGATATGAGCTCGAGTAGAGTCATCGCTATGGTAGGCATTTTGAATGCTTTTATAACATGATGAGAGCAGTAGTGATAAATGTGAACTTTCTCCGTCCGGAGTGTCCGAGACATGTGGATTGTGATTGTTTGCTGGCACGGCTGTCTGTAGCACAAGTACTAACTATAAATGAATGGCTGTTCCTCAGCAAAGGTGCTGGATGGTCCGCTCCGGCGCCCGGACTCTCCGCGGACTCTCCGAGCGGGCCACCAAATAGACAGCCTCCCAACTTCCTGTTGCCAATTACACTTCCGCTGTTAGCCATTTACTCATCGAGATGCTTCAGCCCCCGATGATTGGTGATCAACAGATTTGGTAGCTTGTCATACTCACAATCCCAGGATTTGTGATCCCCTTGTCGGTGACACAATCTAATTCGGGCCAGGAGATAATCTCAATATGAAGCGAAAGGCCGCACCAGAACCTCCCGATCCTCAACCGAAGCGAACGCCTCGCCAGGATCCTGTCTCCTGTGAATCATGTAGGACAAAGAAAATCAAATGTGATCGACAGCAACCATGTGCAAGTTGTTCTGTTCGCAGATTGACCTGCAAATATGAACGACCTGGGGCTACCGCAAGAGACAGCAGACTCCGAGATACCCCGACATCAAGCCATGATGGCCCTGTGCTCGCTCAGAGTCCGCAAGATAAGCGGACTCTCTCGTCTACTAAGACTCTAGCCTCGAAGAACAATAGGGAGCTGATACAAACAGCCGACTGGCTGGAAAATATTCACATGGCCGCGAGGATTCCAACAGCCACTCCAGATTGGCTGCGCGATGGGCTGCGTGAGCCTCAAAGAACTGGAAACCCAATCCCAACTCCGGAAGCTCGTCCCTCCATATCCTCGCTCGCATACTTGTACAAGGACCGGTCTGCTTCCAAAGAAAACCCAGCGACGGTTGACTTGAGAGCGTACCTCCCTGATAGAGACCAGGCAATGTCACTGTTTCAATACTACATCGACTACGTCGGGCCCTTATACCATATTATCATCCCAAGTCGCGTCAAATCCCAGGTGGATGACATCTATCGCTCGGTTGATGTTGGATCACCGATAATTCTCGATCATCTGGCTTTACTCTTCAGCATAATGGCAAGCTCTCTTTACCTGCAACTGTCCCTGGAGAGTTCTGCCGATGCAGAGGCCTGCAGTCGCGAGTTCTCGTACCTGACTGGTGCGGCCCTGATCCAGAGTAATTATACCGTATCTCCCACGATAGAAGGGCTGCAAGCGACCATGGTTGTCATGCACAATCTCTACGTTTGGAACATACAGCCAACAGTCAGCGGACTTTTCGCGCTGGGGTCTATTGTTAGCCAGGCTAAAATTCTGATGCTCCATTGCATCGATTCGCCGCGAGTTCGAGAGGAACGAGAAGCGACTGGGTTTGACTGCTTAGAAGTAGAACTCAAAAGACGGCTCTGGTGGGACTTGGTATCTTATGACTGGTAAGCTTCACTGGATCTGTGACTAAAATACCTGCATCGCTGAAAGTTTCGATCAAGGATCCTTGGTAACTTGACTGGTCCCCAAGAATGGACATACTCGATACAAAAGAATCATATGAACGTTCAAGAACCATCGAATATCGACGACGAGCTTATCGAGAAGGAAGGTGCTGTAACGTCACTGCCCAGCTGCGTACCTACAGACATGTCCTATGCGCTCCAGCGCCTTAAGTTGGCAATCCTGTGTCGTGAAATTATTGACGCGACATCACACGATCACCTTCATGGTCTAGAGCTAGACTACAGCAAGATACTTGAGCTGGATCGCAAATTCCATCAGCTGATCTCAGAGATCCCGGAATTCTTCCGCCTCGATCCGGGCTCCCAGCGCCGATTTGAGCCAATCTATAAAGAGCGACCGGCCATTGCATGGCAGAGGTATGTCCTACAGCAAGGCTTCTTCTCTCGGCTGTGCCGCTTGCATCGGCATCACTTCATCCGTGGCGCGCGTGAGCCCACATTTGCGTGGTCTCATCTCATCGGCCTCCAATCCGCTCGAAAAGTAATCGAAATCAGGAAGATTTTAGACGAGGGCGACCTCGGCTATAATCCGCCCGTCTCAGTGGTTTGGTCTGTCACTCACCATGTGTTCATGGCTACTGTGATTCTCTTGATGGATGCTTGCTTCAACTGGGATGATATCCTGGCGGAAAGAAGGAAGGAGGAAGTGCTCGACGCCTGCCGCATGCTAAGCAAGGCACACGAGTCATCTTCACTGGTACGCGAAGGCATAGATGCGATGATGAGCGTACTACGGAGACATTGGAAGAGCAGCACTCAATCATTCGCCGCACCACACGAGGTCAATCCATCGAATGCGCCGCTTGGACCTCGACTGGTCAAAGAACCAGTGCGCATCAATCCAGCCATGACGGGTGTTTACAATACACCATCCACGGCGATCGACATGCATGATGTTACAATAGATACCACAGCCACAGACTTGCCTCCTGATGGACAATTTGAAGAAATTTGGTCAGAAATGCTGGAAAGCGGCAACATTCTAACACTAGAGTCTGCGGATTGGACGGAGTTACTTGATGAGTTGACGGATACCAGCCTGCCTGGCAATCGCCCTTTGGCGTTTAGTTGATGATGGTTGGAGGTGAACGAAAGGGACTTGTTACTGTTAGGTGTTTGGACGGCTCTGATTCGATGACCCCGTTTTCGAGTCCGTTGTCGCATGAGACATTTCGAAGTCTTGCACGGAAATTACAATTCATAGAGGGCATGATTCATGGTCTGTACACTTGAAACCAGCACTAAATCCAAGCTGTTGTACCAACTATCGAAGTGGCTAATTATCACCCGCTAGTCTTCAACCGTCACATTGACCTTACTAGTGTCTGACCGGGGCAATCCATCAGCTTCGAGCTCCTCAGTTGATGCGGTGAACTCACAGAAAGCCACATGATCCTTGATATTCATGGCAGCGTCGTATGGCTTGGCATAATACCACGCTGCATTAGGATATGTTTTTTCTGAATGATGCACGATGTCAGTCATACTTTCTGGAAAGCAGAAGCAGGCTCCAATGACAGACCTCCTACTACAACGGAATAGTACGAAGCATGTCCTTTCCATGGACAGAACGTAGACAGATCAGTCGGGACAAACAGAGATTCATCCTTGATTGCTGAGGGAGGAAACTGATGGATGTGAGCTTAGCCAAACAAATGGACCAGGACTGAGAGCCTACGTAAATGTTGCCTTCGACCGTTTCCCACGATGCGGTCTCAGCAAGGATGGTGTCGGCAACGATAGCCCTTGCGACAGGCATGATGGGTTGGGTTGGTTCTCTTGTCGGAATATGTTTCGAATGCAGAAGAGGAAGGAAGAAAGGTTGGAAAGATGACGAAGTTGACATTGTTCAACTACTATGATTACAAATTGGAGGCACGTGAGTGCGGGGAAATCGGCATACAATAATATCATCGATAAGGGTCTATCCGTTTGGACATCCCAGGCTACTTACTCCGTACATGCAAATTACTCTTCAGTGTAGGGTTCCACCCAATGTCTGCCCATCTCCTTCATATCTCTCAGATCTTCGAAGTCCCAATTGTTGACGTCATAGCCATCAATCTCGTAAGGCCAGCCGACATGATCAAAATCCACAGCAGGGGCATTCCAAGGCCAGTGGTGATTCCAGGCCGAATCTAGGCGGGTGTCACCGAGCGTCAGCCCTGGATCTGCGACAGCCTGCTCCAATGTCTCCACCAGCCGATCTCCATACGACGAGCAGGCCCGTGGTGTTGGTTTATCCACGAGGTGCAACCGGTCATAGGTTCGTTGAACGCATTGCTTGCCCTGGTGGACCAGTCGCAGGAGTTTCGAAGGGGACATTTCAGTGCACAGCGGATACCGCGCGAGGTGCAGGATCTTCCGCCACATTCGGGTGCGCTGGTCGCCGTTGGGATCGGCCAGGTTACAGAAGCCTCGGACGCGTTGGATCTCGTCCCGCAGCGCCACGCGCATTTCGCGCAACATGTTGCTTCTGGCCACGTTGATCTTCTCGTAGATCGGAAGCGGCAGCACGGCGTCGGGAGGCGGGACCATGTGCGGATGTTGCATGATCAGCGTACCCGTGGCTTCTTTGAAGCCGTCGCGCACGTTGAAGACCCACATGATGTACAGCATCCAGTCGATGACCTGCGCATCGGACGGCTCCGGGTCGCCGGGCCACATGTTCTCCACCCAGGTGGTGACAACCGGCATCACGGGCCTAAACAGATGGAACTTGTCAACCACCTGGGCAATATCCTTGAGCAAGGCCATTTCGATACCGCCGCTCGGCATATTGGCCCACCTACCGTGGACAGCCTGCATGACCGTGTAGAACGCTGCAGGATTGACGTCGTCGTAAGTAAGGGTCAAATGGCCGGTCTCTCTGAACCGGATGCCTTCCTCGAAGTTGGGCTCGAACAGAGCATAGAAGTATGGGGAGGCTTCCGCGAGGTGTCGCGAGCTGCACAGTATTTTATACTGCCATCTGCCATTATGGATGACCACAGTCACGTCGCTCTTATAGCAGAGCGTGTCTACAATCCCGTCGAACGGGCTTAGGAGGTCGGATCCGCATTCGGGCCAGTTACCCTCATCATTGGATGGTTCTGAACCAGTGTCAGCCTCCGAATCGGAGTCGGAAGAGAGTATATCGTCTTCATCCGAGGAGTCCACGTCCTCTGGTGGGAGCAAAGATCCCGGCCATTGGAGGACAAATGGGGTGTTGGGAGGGGTCGGCATTCTGCAGACTCACCTTTCTTGCAACTAGGCTTCGGATTGGGTGTCAGCTTGATGAGAAGAATCAATCTTTTGCATCCACTGACTGACTGAGGGGTTGATGTCAGATCACCTCATCGATGAGGAGGTGGTTGTCTTATATATAAGCGCCATGTCATTTCGCAATGAGAACTCCGTCGTATGTACTGGAGATGCTCAAGAAATTGTATGATGGATATCCATGTTGTGGGATCTTGGTTGTGGTTCATTGTATGAAACTGAAGTGTTAAGAAAAGCCCCCTTCAAAAATAGCGGCGATGCTCCAATTGCATGTATACCAGAAGATCTCCGCCATGGCTCATTGTTGAAAATCGAGGAAGAAAGCCAACCTGTGATTTCCTGAAGGAAGTTCTCATTATGAGAGGCACAAGTTATGAGAAAGCCCAAAATTAGTATTGACTAGCAGTGTAGAAGTATATGATTGAAATCAGGAGGCAATCAGACTGACGTGCTCTTGTTGACCGCAGTATACGCCTAGCTTTGAATCAGGATCATACCAGCTATCAATTAGCCTACCTTTTCCGGCTTCGCTGACGATAGGAGAAATGCGGGGGCGGGGCACTTGTCAACGACAGGGCGCGCAGCACTTAATCACCTCCTAGCGCTTGCTGCGACAATTCTTCTGGGAGGCCCTATTGGCGCATAACCTGGTATAAGGTGAGCTCTCTATGAATCGCGTATTGAAGGATATTCCAGGCAACTTGTATGGCTCAAGACACTAAACTCAGGTGGGGATAGCGCATGGCTCGGAACGTCGGAATGGCGGAATGGCGGAATGGCCGCGCGCGCGCCCTGCCGCTGACGAGAGACACAAATTCCCCACAGGCTTATCGATAAAAAAGCTGTTCTTTCTTCTTCGCTACACTGGATCTTTTCTTGTCTCATCGCCATTGTACATTGTCTGGGCCTTTTCGTTGGTTGTTGGAGGCTGTCTGTCGCTTTCTTGCTTTTTGATCCTACCTGAATTGAGTTACACTCCCTCCTTCCTCCGGTACTCTTCGAGAGGCGTCTTCCGCAGCGCCGAGTCCTTCCCCGCACATGGATCGCGAACAGTTCAGAACAGCAGCTCATGCTGCGGTTGATGAGAGTCAGTCTTCCGGATTGATGGAATACTGGTTTGGTGCTAATCCCAGCAGTCATCAACTACTTCGAAGGCCTCCCCTCCCAGCGTGTCCTCCCCACCGTCGAACCCGGTTACCTCCGCCCCCTGATCCCCGAGAACCCGCCGGAGCAGCCGGAAGAATGGTCGCAGATCCAGGCGGACATCGAGGAGAAAATCAAGCCGGGGCTCACGCACTGGCAGTCGCCCAACTTCATGGCCTTCTTCCCCGCGGGGGTCACCTACCCCAGCATCCTGGGGGAGATGTACTCGGCGGCGTTCACCGCGCCGGCGTTCAACTGGCTCTGCTCGCCGGCCTGCACGGAGCTGGAGACGATCGTGATGGACTGGCTGGCCAAGGCCCTAGCGCTGCCGGAGTGTTTTCTCAGTACCTCCGAGAACCGCGGCGGCGGCGTCATCCAGGTGACCGCCAGCGACACGGTGGCGACGATGATGATCGCGGCGCGCGAGCGGCGCGTGACGGAGCAGGTTGTCGCGGAGGGGCTCAAGCCGGATACCGTGGAATATGAGGACCGCATGATGGAGCTGCGGCCCCGGCTGGTCGCCCTGGCCAGCAACCAGGCGCACAGCAGCACCGCCAAGGGCTCCCTGCTGGCCGGCACCCGCTTCCGCAGCGTTACGGCTCGGCTGGAGGATAACCTGGAGATGACGGCGGCGGGACTGCGCGAGGTGCTCGAGCAGTGCGACAAGGACGGGCTGACGCCTTACTTCATCACTCTCGGGTTCGGAACGACCAACACGTGCGCCGTGGATCGGTTCGCGGAGATCAAGGCGGTGCTGCGCGAGAAGCCCCACTGGCAGCGGATCTGGGTGCATATCGATGCGGCGTATGCGGGCGCCGCCCTGGTGGCGGACGAGTGGCAGTACATCGCCAAGGACTTTGCGGAGGGCGTGGACAGTTTCAACCTGAACATGCACAAATGGTTGCTGGTCAACTTCGATGCAAGGTATGTTGTCTCAAGAACTGTTCGGTTAGTGCTATGCTGACACCCGGTGTGATAGCTGCCTGTTCGTTCGCAACCGGTACGACCTCACCAACGCCCTGGACATCACCCCGGCCTACCTCCGCAACGAGTACTCCGACTCCGGCAAGGTGACCGACTACCGCAACTGGTCCATGTCCCTGGGCCGGCGCTTCCGGGCGCTGAAGATCTGGTTCGTGATGCGCAGCTACGGCCTCACCGGGATGAAGGATTACATCCGCAAGACCATCGGGATCGGCGAGGTGTTCGCCGACTTGATCCGCAGCCGTCCGGACATGTTCGAGCTGATCACCGAGCCCGCGTTCGCGCTCACCGTGTTCCGCATCAAGAGCCCCAAGGCCGCGGTGACGGAGGGCGCGTCCGTGCTGCAGCCGGACGAGGCGTCCAACGCGCTGACCAAGGAGGTCTACGAGCTGATCAACTCCCGCGGCGAGATCTTCATCACGTCGACGGTCATCGCGGGGGTGTATGTCATCCGTGTCGTCAGCGCCAACCCGGCCGCGGAGGAGAAGTATATCCGTCGGGCGTTTGAGATCCTGGTGCAGACCACGGAGGAGGTGCTCCAGCGGGAGTAATTGAATTAGACCATGTATTCTAGTATAGATATCTTAGTGCTTGATGGATACTTAGCAATAAATCACGATCGCGACGCCCTCGAGTTCAACATCAATCATTCCCACGCTCATCTTCTAACCATATTCTAGCCTCACGCACCCACTCCCTCGCTACGGAGAATGCCCCCGCATTTTATCTAACATGTGTCGTGACCCTCCCTCGAGAAATCAAGACCCTCCGCCACCCCCTCCACAACCACCCCCTCCACTATGCCCTCCGCCGCCACCACAACCTCCTCCACCATGGTGACCCCCTCCTCCATGATGTCCACCACCATGATGCCCCCCACCACTATAGTCCCCACCCCCACCATCCACATAAACCCCATGCGCCGCGTGTCGTCGCGGATACGAGCTCGTCCTCGACGACATCATATGAGATGAGGAATACCGCGCCGGAGGGGTCCGTTCGTCGCTGCGAGAGGAGAAGCACATTGTTTCGTTCTGCGGTAATTTCCCCGAGGACAGCGGGTCGAATAATATATCACGAGTAGGAAAATGCGGTCTCTCGCGATGTCTCTGAGCAGGTGGGCTCCTGGCTTTGGATGTGTGAAGGCTTGATCGATATGGCCTTTCCTTCTTCTTTAATCTAAGGATTGGACCTGGGTTCGAACGCAGTGTGTTTTGGATCTTTGCGATAGTTGTCACGGTGCCTTGAGCTTTGCCTTGAGATTTGTAGCAGCAAAGTGGAGTCCATGCAAAGCTAGGCGAGTGGGTAAGGTAGGTAGGTAGGTAGGTAGTCTTATATCCCTACTTCCGTGCTGCGTCTGCTGTGTTCGCTGCGTCATTCACCGGATGAGGGTGATCGAGCAAGGCTGAGCTGAGTCATGGGTGGAGATGAGGCTACCAAGGTCAAAGTAAGTATGCTAAGCGGGATGAGCCTTGCAGGTTCTGGTGTATGGTGAACCTGGTGACGGCGATGGTCGATGCGCAAGGCTTCCTTCATCGGGACTCTCTTCTCTGCGGTTGGCTGTCGGCGTGCGCTTGCGGGTTGCGGGTTGCGGTTTGCTTGTGGCGCGGAGTCGGGCACGGGGCGTTCGCCGCGGGGGCTGTGCTTCCGTTCCCACGCGTGATGTCGGATACGAGGGGTGGGTTACTTTTTCGTGCTTTGGGTGATGGAGCTTTGTGGGTTATTGTGATTTAGGGAATTGGTGCTGTGGTGGCGGAGCTGGGTGTGTGCTGAGGGGTTTGGTATAGTTTGGCTGGTTGTTTGTGGTTATGGGTGCTGGAATGGGTTCTCATCTCAGTACAGTGCTGAAGAGCTAAAGATATTGCGAATGGAAGGTTTCTAATTTATATCGAAGGTGAGGTATTTTGTATGATGTTGAGGATGCTGGCTGTATAGATGAGGAGAGATAGGCAGGGAAATCGCTGGATGCAGTCCACTTAGTCTATAGGCTCTTTTTGTTGTAGTACATGCACGACCGGGACAAGCTAAGCGATTCGATCTCGATAAAGTAAAAGCGATACCTACCCATCGGCTACAATCACTGTAAAGGTGTTTGAACACCCTCCTTCGGATGGTTCTGTTCTCTTATATACTCAGGACTAGTTAAACTTTGATACTGCCAGCATAGTCGCCGTGAGAATGCCTTTTACTATATGAATCAAACAGAAGAGCGATCAGGTCGGCGGTGCGTAGACGTGGCATTTCTGAACCAAATAGTGGAGGGCGCGAGTTCATTTTTTTTACTGCCTAAAGCCCTAGGGCCGGGACGAACCCTCTTTGCTGGATCTCTTTTCTAGGAGTATGGAAATGCACTAACAACAGGCAAGACAAGACTGAACTGAAGATTGCAGCAGCCCCACCTCGGCTTCTAGCTTTTTAAATGATCCATAGTAAACTACCCATCATCCCCTCCAGTCCTATCGCCTCAAAAATAGCTCTCCACATGAATCTGCAGTGGTACAAGCAGAATTTGCGTCCTGAAGCGTTAAGAAAAGTGGGGCTATATTTTAGTTTCGAGTACAACTGTACAACAACAGCCGCGGTGGTGTAGTGGTATTAACATTGCAGAGCCCCCGTACTAGCCTTATGCTAGCGGTGTGGAGTGCAGATTCTGGGTTCGAGTCCCAGTCGCGGCATCGTTTTTTTGTCTCTCTGCGAGGAGGGAAGGCGTCATGAAGATATCATCGGTGGGAAGAGTGTGTTGGAGGGTGGGTGTTGGGGAGGGTACGTCATACAACTAGAAGTGTGGATGAAATGGTTATTGTGGTAGAAAGAGTCTAGTATAACGGAAAGGGGACCCGCTTATGGAGACCAACGGATGCAGGCACGCTAAGTATGACATTCAGATGTACAGCGATGATGTGTGATTGACATGCTATGCAGCAAGTAATCTAGCGTTGGGTCAGC